AGGGAGGGAGGAAGGAAGGAAGAGAGGGAGGGAGGGAGGGAGGGAGGAAGGAAGGAAGGAAGGAAGGAAGGAAGGAAGCAAGGAAGGAAGGAAAGAAGGAAGGAAGAAGGGAAGGAAGGAAGGAAGGAAGGCTCTGAAAGCACCCAGGGGGAAGCAGGTCCCTTTTCCTCCTCTCTTGCCTCCCCTAGCACCTCTTACTGATATAATCTACCAAGGAGCAGCTGGCAAAGGCTAGAAAAAAATTGGTTTAGAGTCCCAGTCCCAGCATAACAAAGTGGAACACCGAAGGATAGGTTAGCACCAAGAAGCAATGACCCAATAGCAGGCACCCATGGGGAAGTGCTTCACATGCCATCACTTCAGGGCTCTAAACCTTAATGGCCTCAGCTTTAAAATGGGGGAAGTATTGCCTGTCTGATGATCCGTGGATATGAGCTCCAGGAAAAGTACATGGCTGTCAGCTTGCTTACCACTATTCCTTCAGCTCCTGGGACAGTGCCGGACCCACAGTGGCCATTCAAGAGTAAAGGCAGTAATTGGTCATTGTTATATTATTATTAACAAATGGAGATTCTAAAGCCTAGACATTTAAACAAAATTTTGTTTTTGAGACAGGGTCTCACTCTGTTGCCCAGGCTGGAGTGCAGAGGTGTCATCCTAGCACATTGCAGCCTCCACCTCCTGGGCTTAAGTGATCCTCACACCTCAGCCTCCCAATTACCTGGGTATACAGGTGCACCACCATGCCTGGCTATTTTTTTTTTTAAAGATGGGGTTTCACTTTGCTGCCTAGGCTAGTCTTCAACTACTGGCCTTAAGCAACTCTCCCACTGTGGCCTCCAAAATGTTGGGATTACAGGTGTGAGCCACTGTGCCTGGCCTAAAAAAAAAAAATGAACTAAAAAAAAAAAAGGTTGAGGCAGCTCTTGCCTAGATTACTAAGTCACTCAACCAAATAAGTGCCAGGGCCAAGAATAGAGCCTGGGGCCTGTCTCATACCCTGATGAGGACGTTGTGTACTAGTAATGGTTTTATTCTTTAGAATAATGATGAGAATGTTATAAAAACAATTTAGCCTTGGTAGAGATGAGGCATTACCTGTCTTTCTAGGGGGATGTTTGCTCGCCAATTTCTATCACAGGTGCTCCAGCACTTCCTATACTCAAGCCAGTGATGTGTGGCTCGAAGGTCCTCAGAGGCATCTCCTCAGAAGGCTGGCTGTGTGGCCTCAGTGGTGCTGAGGAGCAGATGCGTCTTCTCTGACTGGCCCCAGGCCTTAGATGCACTCCATCCAGCTCAGTCCCCTCTCACCTCTGTGTCCTTCATGCGTGTTCCTGCCTCCCCGGCCACTGCCAACATCAACCTGCTTAGGGACCCGAGACCAGTCTCCTCAGAGAGTGTGTAATGAGCTGTCCAACAACCACTGTGGATGTGTCCAGACTGTCTTGAAGGCTGTTAAGGCATTTGCTGGGTCCGTTCTGGGTAACCTTCCCTTTGTGCTACGGAGGAGGAACAATGGCTGGATCATCCTGGAACCTCCTCCTGGAGAATGAGCAGCAGCATTTGTCCTGGCTGCCTTCTGGAGGAAGTGAAATCCAAGCTGCAGCCACTCTCACAGCTGGTGCTGGCTCAGTCTACCCCAGATGCAAGGTATCTAATGGATTGCCTCTCGTGTAGGGGCAGGTGAGAGCAGAGCTCGTCTAACACAGTTTGAGGACAGAGGGGCATCACCCATCTGCGGGCATTCCCAGCCACACTTCCCTCCCGGGTTCCGGAGCAAGCTCTCCCTGCATTATCTAACTCCAACTCATCATGCTCAAAAGAGAAGTCAGGAGATCTAAAGCCTACAGATAGCCTTACTCCCCTGTCTCTGTCAAAAACACATATGAAAGCAGAGAAATATTCATCAGACGTGGAAGCAATTGGGGAATAGACCAGAAGAAAACAATTAGGTAATGAAGATGTGCATTAAACCATCTCTGGCACCTTCCTGACCCAGAAACATTCTTTATATCCTGGTAATGATGGCACATTGAACATTCCAGGGAATTCCAATCCTGGAAATCAAGGAAACTTACTCTAACGGCATAGGAGAAAGTGAGTTGTCACCAGGGTGCATGGCTTCCTGGACATTCTACTGGAATAAAAGTTGGCTCCCCAGGGCCAGCAGAAGTCATCCCAGGGCAGGTCCCAAGCAGTCTCCCTTCCGGGCTCTGTAGTAAAAATGAACCACTCTTGATTTGAGATTCAGAGTCTGAGGTCAATTTCCCCACCCCAGATCTCACTGGGGGCACTAGATCCCCCAGAGCCTTCTTCAGACCCCTGAGATTTATCACTGGCTTCAGGGAAATGAGCCAATTCGATTAGCTTTTCCATTGTCCCAGCTTCTTTTCCAGGAGCAGAGCAGAGTGCGGGGCTCATTGTCGCAGTGGAACAAGCTAAAGACCCTGCAAGGCCCAATGCTGACTCCAGGAGGTACTGGGGAGGGCTTGCTAGTGATGGAAACTGGCTATGAATCTTGCTTTCCTGATTCTAAAATCGACTCTGTTTGAAGGTGCTGCTGAGGTGCCCTGGGTACTTCTCCAGTGGTGCGTAGAGGAGTGACAGAGGGAGGAGGGCCCCTGACACACACACAATTTCAGGAAGACAGTTTCCCTGTTATCTATTATATAGATGGGGGGGTGCATTCATTTCTTCATTCAATATTTATTGAACTTCCACGTTCTCCAGGCACCGTCTAGGCATCTGGGCCAGGATAGACAGGGGAATAAGATAGACCTTTCCTTGCTGTCACAGAACTTAAGTCTTAGCTGGGAAGACAGGAAGTAAACAAGTAAGTGTAAACAAGTAAGTGAAAACCCCATAATTTGGGGTAGAGGCCCACAGGACAGGTTCTGCAAGAAGTAGACTCTGACCAAGAGATTTGCAGGAGGTTTTTGGGGGCGTGACCTCAGGAGCAACATGTGTGAAGGATGAGGGACGCAGGACGGACAGACGGAAAAGCTGCTTTCCATCTTCCTCCTGAGGAACTTTGCAGCTTGGGACAACAAGCAGTGTTGTCCTAATTGAGATCGGAGGACTGGGCATTTGCACTACCACGTGACCAGTCTTTGGCCGCAAGCTGCCTCCAGGAAGTGGGCGTACGTGTTGGTGGAGCAGCTTCCTCTGACAGAGGAAATGACACACCTCTGACACTTTCCAACCCTTGGAAAGTGTCTCAGGTGTGAGCTGGTGGTATCTGCACCCCCAGCAGCTAAGGCGATGAGCATTTCTCGGTCCTGCCAGGGGATCTGAGCGGCACATAACAACATCCACTATGAAATGTGGTGTGTGCTGGGCGGTGGCTGACTGAGGAGCTCGAGAGTAGGAGTGAGGCAGGCTGTTTTAAAGAGGTGGCGAGGGAAGGCCTCTCTGGGCAAAGGCAGAAACTTGCAAAGACTTGATTGGTGTGAGGAAGTAAGCCATTCAAAGTCAAGGGCACCAGAGGTTCTAAGCAGAGGAAACAGCAAATGCAAAGCGGAGAACAAGCTTGGCACATTTGAGAACCAACAATAAGTCCAGTGTGTCTGGAGCCACAAGAGTGAAGGAGAGAGCAGCTGGCGGTTCAGCCAATGGGGTACCAGGAAACCAGATGGCGGAGAGCCTGGTAGACCATGGTAAGGAGTTTGCAGTTTACTCTAAGTGTGATGGGAGATGTTGGAGCACTTTGAACAGGGGAAAATCACCATCTGATCTACATTTTAAATGTATTATTTCACTAAATAGAGAAATAATACGTTTAAAATGGTAGTAATTGGTCATTGTTATATTATCATTAACAAGTGGAGATTCTAAAGTCTAGACTTCTAAAAACAATTTTAAATGGAGCAAATGTTGCTCCATCTGACAATTACGTAAGCCAGCCATGCCTGTTCTTTCCCTATAGGTAGAAATGTATGGGAAACTGCATTCCAATTCAGGGAAGTATAGGAAGCAGTAATGAAAGTGGGAAGACCTATTACAAGTTTGTTGCAGTCATCCAGGTAAGAGGGGATGGTGGCTGAAAACAAGGTTTCAGCTATGTGGGACCTAGCTTGGAAGGGATGGGATTCTACATATGTTTTGTAGCTGGAAGCAGGAGTTTGAGGCTAAGAGATGACCTGAGAATAGAATTATTTTAGGTGTCAGGCCTGAGAGATGAGGGCACATTGGGGAGGAGCAGGTGCAGCGGGGGCAGGGCATCCAGAATGCTCTTTGGACATCTTATATTTGAGGTGCCTGTCAGACACCCAAGTAGAGATGCCTGATGTGAAGACATCATATCTGCAGCTTGGGGTCCTTCATAAGATCATTTGAAAATAAGAGTTGTGCTACTAAAATAAAATGTGCAAAAAAAAAAAAAAAAGGAGAGAGAGAGAAGAAGAAAAAAAAAAGAAAATCGCTGCATCATGCTGTCTTGTCTATAGTTGAATTTTCACATGCTGTGGAAATTCAGCCAGAGATCCTGTGGAAAAATACTGAAAGGACCCTTGGATCACTGATTCTAAGTTTGAAAAAGGGCTTGGCTGGCTGCTTCCAAGCTTGGCTGGCTTGCTTCCATGGGGCAAGTTTGGGGATTTTTTTTTTTTTTTTTTTTTTTTTTATTGTAATTGAGGCAATTGACTTTGTCAGCAAGCCAAGAGTGGATTTCTCTCATAGGGGTGAATTCACATTGATCAGTGTAACCAGGCTCCTAAGAGAGTGATAAAGCAGAAACTCTGTTTACCTTGAAAAATATAGTCATCTCACAATTATGTAAGCCGGTCATGCCTGTTTTTTCCCTGTAGGTCAAAGCAGATGGGAAACTGCATTCCAATCCAGGGATTTCCCAGTGAGTTAGAATGAGACAAAGGGGATGAACTGAATAGCCCAAACATGTTAAGTTATCAACATATTAAAATTCTTCTGAGCTAATTGGTAAGGAGCCTCTTCCTGGAGCCTCCTGTCTGTTCCTACTGACTGCCCTTCTCATATCAGGGACCTCACAGAGCTCCCAGACGCTAGAAGGTAAAGGCAGGCAGAATGGGGGCCCCAGGTCACTGCTCCAGCTGTAGCTGAAGACCTTGCTGTTTGGGTGGTGCCTGTGCTATATGGATTGTTAAAGATGTTGACTCTCATCCCCGCTTTAGGGCGCCCAGTCATGATAGCTGGATGCCCCTCGCCTTCTCCATAACAGAAATGCAGCCAGGAGAGGCCCAGAGCCTACTAATGTGTGGATACCCATCACCCCAGCGTTGTCTCAGTCAGAGCTTGAATCATCCTGACGATCCTCCTCGGTCTCATTTCTCTCTGTGTCTGTGATGCTGCATCCATTCTGACAGGCCCTTCTGTCCCTCAGGATGTTCCTGCTGTCAGTCCAGGCTGCTCTGGTCTGAAATTCATCCTGTCCATATAAGGAGACTTTAAATAGATCTTCTTTGATCTGGTGCTGGCTGGTTTTACAATTTTTCTCTCAGAGGGAAATCTTATTTCCCGTTTCCAAGTTCTTGGGTGATGCCTCACAGTCAAGCCCCATAGACTGTCTACCCAGAGGAGTTTAATTTTCATGGAATCCAACAGGGCCAGTGCGGAAAGAGACCTTAATAATCATTTAATTCAACCCTCTTGTTTTATAGACAAGGTGACTGAGAACCAGAGAAGGAAAGGCAGGTTGAATTATTATTTATAATGAATATAATATTTACAACCAGTACAGATCACAAAGAAGACATTAATAAACTGATCTATACCAGGAAGCTGTTCCCTGGTTTTTTATAGCACTCTAAGCCTGGTGACCTTCCTGAGCAAACAGAGTCCCTCGCCTCACTGAGGAGAACTCCCGGGAACACCAAAGGCCAAGGGAGACACCGCAGGCAATAAAACATCCGTGAGCGAAACATCTCAACACCCCTAGACAAAGAAAGGCACAGAACTCAAGAAAGCAGTGACGGGAGAGCTTTAGTAAATGTTTAATGAAGATGGAGCACAGAGGTCGTCCAGTGCAGCCCCTCTTTTTGAAGCAAGGAAATGTTATGCGATAGATATCTGTCATTGTTTCAGCTTACCAACATTCATTTCCTCTTTTGACAGCTGCTGATTTTCTCTCGAGGGCTCACACCCCTGGACTCTGGGTGGTCCTGGGAAGATGTGAACCCTGTACCCTGACTCCCATCACTGAGGCCAAGGGTCTGGACTCTTCCTCCTCCTCCTACTCCAGCACAGTGGGGAACCCGGCAGGACAGCTGTCCTCTGGGACTCTTGAGTTCACTCGCTTCAGCCACCAAGCACTGACAGGAGTGTTTCCACCAAAGGGCAGCTCCTGCGGCTTCCACTTCCCCTCTCCAAGGTGCCAGGGTTACTGTCTGTCGTCCAGCCTTCCATGGCATCCCTGTCTCTCCAGATCATCTCACTCAATTCTCTCATTGCTCCAGTGAGCCTGGATTGTTTTCTGTTGCCGACAACAGAAAACCCCAACTGATACCCTTGCCCTTCCCCAAGGTCACTTACCCAGATCAAGGTCCAGCCTGAGATTTGAGTTCCTATTGAGTCCCCTACAGGAGCACAGCTGTGAGCTAAATTGTGCCTCTCCCTAGGTTCATTCCTAACCCTCTCAGACCTCAGGATGGGACAGTATTTGGAGACATGGTCTTTATTGAGCTAATACAGGTTAAATAGTTTACTCAGGGGATCCTCATCCAATACAACTGGTGTCCTTATAAGAGGAAATTGGGACACATGTTGGTGTGCAGTGGGAAGACCATGTGAGGACAGAGAAGCTTGGCCATCTGCAAGCCCAGGAGAGAGACTTAGAACAAATCAATCTGCGGACAACTTGATCTTGGACTTCTAGCCTCCAGAACTGTGAGAAAATACATTTCTGTTGCGTAAGCGGCCCAGCCTGTGGTCCTTTGTCATGGCAGCCCTGGCAGATGAGTGCAGACCGCACTTCCCACCGCCATGGTGCCACTGTCTGTGGACAGCATGCCAGCCTCATCGCACGAGTCACCCCTGAAGATGCTCAAATTAGCAGGCTGTTCTTAGAACCAAATTTCCTGGACAGGCTTCAGAAAGCATTCTCTCTGGTGATACAGACATCTGAAAGACACACACACACACACACACCCCAAAAACAAACAAAAAACTCATGGCCAAAAAAAGGACCTTTCTCCCTTTCATTTCTTTAGTAATGGACAGCGCCCAGAAGAGCAGGATGGATGGCTCCTCGGAGAAAACAGAATCATTTCTTAATAAACAAATGAGAATTTAGAGCCCGAGCCGACAAGGAATTTAATCTTGTTCTCCCAGCATCCACACGGAGGAGGGAAGCAAGCAGAGGCAAAGACAGACATCACGGTTCCCCTTGATTCTAATATTGGGTTGGACGGGGGAGGGCGAAGATCTGCATGCCGAGCTCCCTTTCTCCACCCACGCCCCTCCTGGCATACACTCTCAGCAAAGCCTCACCGGGTTCCCCCTGCAAGTAATTGCATAAGTCTCTTGGGGACAATAACCCCGAAGTTACCTCTTGGAGGGTCAGAGGGAAGTGCTTAGGGCTGAGGGAATGCAAGAGGGTGGAGGCCAAAGGGCTGAATATTAATGGGGGCTATCACCACCAGCTCTTAAGGTAATGGAAAAGCCCTCTGCAGAGCCAGGCTGGGGCCAGCCTCACACGGAAATGCAATCTTCTGCAACACAGAGTAGGCAGTGACAAGCAGTTTATCTTCCATTACTCCAAAGCCTTAAATCATTATTAACCCTAAGCCAGCAAAAGAAACCAAACCACTGACTCCAATGTCTCCTTATCTTCCCAGCAAATATAAATGTGCACGACATTGAGGCACCTGTATTAGGGGTTGACATTTATCCCTCAACCCGCCACCGCCGGAAAGAAAGCTATGTTGAAGTTCTAACCCCCAGTACCTCAGAATATGACCTTATTTAAAGATAGGACCTTAACAGAGGTAATCACGTTAAAATAAAGTCCTTAAGGTGGGCCCTAATCGAATGTGACTGGTGTCCTTATAAGAAGGAGAACTTGGGCTGGGTGCGGTGGCTCATGCCTAGAATCCCAGCACTTTGGGAGGCCAAGGCGGGCTGATCACCTGAGGCCAGGAGTTGGAGACCAGCCTGGGCAATATGGTAAAACCCCATCTCTACTAAAAATACAAATTATCTGGGCATGGTGGTGGGCACCTGTAATCCCAGCTACTCAGGAGGCTGAAGTGGGGGGATGGCTTGAACCCAGGAGGTGGAGGTTGCAGTGAGCCAAGATCACACCACTGCACTCCGGCCTGGGTGACTCAGTGAAACTCAGCCTCAAAAAAAAAAAAAAAAAAAAAAAAAAGGAGAACTTGAACACAGAAACACATACAGGGAGAGCCACATGCAGGGAGAGCCACATGCAGGAAGAGCCACATGCAGGAAGAGCGCTGTGTGAAGGTGCTTCTGTAAGTTAAGGGACGCCAAAAATTGCCAGCAAACCTCTTGACACTGAGGGAAGGCCTGGAAAAGATGCCCCCTCACAGGACTCGGAAGGCACCAACTCTACCCATACCTTGACCTCAGACTTCTCGCCTCCAGAACTGGGAAACCATAAATTTCTGTTGTTTAAACAACCTACTTTGATGTACTTTGTTATGGTGATCCTAGGAAAATAGACACAGAAAGCTCTAATCCACCGGGGAAGGGAAAAGTGGTCCCATCTCATCATAAAATGAGAATTTTTCTGAGGCCATAGGAATGGGTGGAGAAATGGGAGGCTGAGTCATTCCTTCTGCCATGGGTTTGCCTGGATAACAATGACTCAACCAAATGGAAGTCCCAAATAAAAGTCATTTTTCAAAGGAGTGTTTCCTCTTTTGAACAGTGCTGACTTAGCCCCAGCCAGCTGAATCAGCGTTTTTGGTGGTGGCAGGAAGTAAGGAGTGATCTTCCTAAAGTAGCGACGTGCTTCCTAGCAGAGTTGCCAGATTAAGCAAATAAAAATACACAGGATACCCAGTTTCATTTGAATTTCAGATGAATGACGAATAATGTTTCAGTGTGTGTCTCAAATACTGCATGGGATAAAACATTCCTATATTTTGCCTGGCAGCCCTCCCCTGATCTCCCCATCCATCCTCCATGTCCATTCTCTGCCTCATCCCTAGTGGAGAAGGGAGGCCCTCAGGCACATCGAGGCACCAAAGTTATGGTACAGTGCAAGGTAAACTCCCAGCAAGAGGTAAGGTGTGTCTCATGATGCACCCTTTGGAGGAAGGGCCTCTGCCTCCTACTGTGGGGAATGATAAAGTTCTCCCACTGTGAGGATCCACCAGATAGCAGCCTTCATGGCTTTGACCATATAGGGATCCGGCCTGGGGTTGAGCAGAGAACCAGGAAAAAATAAGAGAGAAAAAAGCCAGAAGGAAAGGAGGATCCCGGGCACCCATCCAAAGCTGACTCCATGGGACTACAAGGTCACCGTAAGAGAGTGTCTGAACCATGCTCTGGCCTCAAATGTTCGTGTGATTAGATATTCAAGTTTGTGGCCTTCCTAGTGAGAGCTGCGTCTTCCCATTGCATGGGATGACCAAATATGCACAGACTTTGTTCCTGGGCATGAAGCTGGGCAACCTGCCAACAGAGTCCGCACCCTGCCTCTGCACTGCACAAACATGGCGGTGGTCAGTGAGTGTTTGTCAAGTGACAAATATATGAGTACTCACCACAAAAGAGAGTCCAGCCAATTTCTCCTCCTTGGAAATATAAAGCCAGAAGGTCAAACCTATGGTCTCTCTTCTCCCAGGTATGTTAAAATTGTCAGCCGACTGAGTGCCAAGACCCTGGCTTAGAGATGTTGAAGACACATACCCTAGCAGGGACGTGGAGCTACAGGTATGCATGAGCAGGGCCTGGAGGAGTCCAGTAGGAAGCTGGCCTTGTTTGTGGCTAAATAAGGACTACATGGACATCTCAATGTTTATGTAGCTGGAGGAGAGTCTGACGTGCACGCCCGAATGTCCAAGACTTTTCTCATAGACCAGGGAGAGTAAATTGGTGGGCCTCCTGGGAGAACAGTGGTGGGCCTGGGAAATGCCAGGAGGTATGAAGTGCAAACAAATGCCTGGGTGACAATTTCCCTTTTAATTTTTCAGAGGCTGAACTTGGAGCAATTGATATGGTGCCTGTTACACATGATAGAGAATGTTACCGTGCTTCAGACGCAGTGCCTGTGTAGAGGGCAGTAATCTGGACAAAAGGAAGGGCAGGGAGATGGAAGAAGGGAGGTCAGGAAGGAAAGCAGGAAGGTAAGAAGTAAGGAAGGAGTGAAAGGAGGAGAAGGAGAATTTGAATGGAAATGTAGTCTGGCCAATACCCAAATCTGGTTTCTTCCTCTCAGCGTGAAGTGCCCTGATTGGATAAGGAATTCACCGCAAGCCTTTTCAAACTGGCTGGTTTCTTTTTAGAGAACAAGGCTTCATTTGATTAGTTGCCCATTAAATCATAGGAGGAGGGCTGGGCTGGGTAAGGGAATAGGACAGTTAGAAGCTGGGAATAGCTTCCCTTCTGAGGCTCACAATGCTCTCTGAACTTGCTGTTCTGTCAACGAATCCCAGTCCAATGAAAACAGTTTTAATTAATGAAATCCACATTGATTGATGGATGGATGGATTCGACAAAGATTTATAGAGAGCCCACTAGGTGTGAGAGGGCCCCAAGTGAGGCCCTGGAGACATAAAGGCAAATGAAGCACAGACCCTGTAGCCCAGGCCCTCCAAGCACAAAAGGGCACACTGGCATATTTTAATAAGACAGCATGTTCAGCTGTGCACAGCAACTGCTCTTTGGGCACATGAAGGGGCGCCTGATCCAGACTGGAGATGGGTGGGGAAGATGACATGAGGGGTGGAGATGAGATGGGAGGGGAGATGAGATGGAATGTATCAGGTGATACAACCCAAAGATGTTTAAATAAATATCACTGAACCACATACCTTCACCTCTTCAGTTTATGGCATAGATACCAGCATTACAGGCAGCATCTTGCCCTTTTCCAGCTAAGTTTGCCATTTGTTTTTCTATTCTGCTCATGCCAGTGGTTATAAGGTAATAACGGGTATGAGTTTTCTATTCATGGAACACATGGGTACTCCCATGGTGTATGTCACGTACACCACAAAATTCCTGCGCACCATGTATATACTTGAATGTGTTAATAAAAACTAGGAGGTTCCTGACACATCCTTATTTTCCATTTCCTCATACCTATCCTTGATGAGTGAGGTGGGATTGTACTTCCTTTTTGTCTTCCATAAAAAAGCACTAATAGGTCTCATGAAATTCCATTCATTCATGCAATAAATATTCATCGAGTGCTTCTGTGTTCCAGACTGTGTCAGGGCTCAGTATACAAGGAAGCAAATGGTAGATACGAACCTCCTTCCTGGAGTTCAGAGAGGCTCTCAGATGCTTCTGGGCATCACAATTCCCTAGGGAACTTGTTTAAAAACGCAGATGTCCCAGGCTTGGTCTGGAGGAAAATGTGATTCTATGTCCCAAACCAGGAGACTGACCCATGCACACTGCAGAACTGTGAGGATGAGGAGCCCCTGGCATCCAGAAAGGGTGGGGTGGAGATCCAGAGGTTGATTCCAGAGAGCCCGGGGGGCTGCAGGAACATGAGGATGGGGTGAGGGAGGGATGCCATGAATGCATCCCTCGAGCCATCCCCATGCTCCATGGGCATATTGTCCCAACATAAAACCCAGAAATGGAAAAGAGCATGAGAAGGGGTGGCCCCCAGCATGAAAACTCCTGAGTACTTTTGCCTGATTATTATTCCATTTGGTCTAATTGCATTTTAAAATGCTCAGTGGGGAAAAAAAATGCCAAGTCTTTTAATAAATTAAGAGCAGGTCTGCTTTTTAACCTGCAGCAGGTTTTTAAAAAGTCCTGCTGAGGGCACACTGCTTAGAGAGACATGGTCTTCGCAGACGAAGGTAATTAGTGAACACCTTCACCTCTGGAGTCGGGAGGGAGTACGAGGGGCTTTGGTTACTGCAGTAATCTCTTCCTGATTGGGAGGAAACTGGTATTTACAGAGGATGCCTAAAGATTCAAATGTGGTTTTCTCTTTCCGCGAATCAGGAGGCAGAGTGTGTGCAGGAAC